TACCTGTAACCTCAGCATTTGGGAGGCTGAGCCAGGATTGCCATGAGTTTAAGGCCAGCCTGGGCTCCGCAGTGAGTTCAAGATCAGCCTGGACTAGACCTCAAAATCAAAACAAAACAACACAAAGGTGTGTGTGTCGGGGAGCACAAGACTCAACAAGGAGAAAATAGAAGTCTTTAAGACGCCAACAAAAAGAAAGCTGCATTCAACAAATGTACTACACCAGGCATAGTGGGGCATGTCAGCGCTCGGGAGGCTGAAGCAGGAGGTTAGCCACGAGTTCAAAGCCAGCCTGAACTACATAGCAAGACCTTCTCTCAAAAAACAAAACGAAGTGAAATTACAGGTTCATTGCAACAGGTGGTTCACATTCTCCAAGTTTGTTTTGTATGATACAGGGTGAACAGTTAGCTATCAAAACTATGAAACTTTAAAAACTGCTTTGGCACATGGAGACCAAGCACTCTGCATTAAAAGATAAGCTTTAGAGGTTTTTGTTTTTGTTTTTGTTTTTTTAAAGAACACGAAGAAGTAAATATGACAGGCCACCACGGCATCAAACATGTCTGCACTGAGCATGTCATTCTGTCAGTAACCCCACTGCTAAAGCTGTGAAGTTTCTAATACTGGTGAAGAGTTGATCTTGCTGGCTGCTAAGGACATTTACGATGAACTTTTAGGAGAGGCTGTAGTTCAAAGAGGCAGCGTGTGTTCCTCTTTCAGCTACCACCATAACTAGGTGAACAGAGGAAACAGCAGAGGATATTGGGGCACAGTTTTGAGAGGATTAATGAGTCACAGTGGTGTGAAATCCAGCTTGACAAGTCTACCGACACTGACAAGGCAACAATGATCATTTTTGTGTGATATATTTTTCACAAACATGCATGAGGTTATACTGTGTGCACACCGGTTGCCAGTGAGTACCACAGCTGCAGGAATATTTAAGTCTCTGAATAAATGACTGGACGAGTGTTCTGGTGTCACTACTTGAGTCAAAGAGGTCGCTTCTGAATGTGAGTCTATGTACAGCGCCATTCATCTAACTGCTGAATAGCTGAAAAAGTCACCTGAACGTAACAAGGTTTTGGAGGGTGTGATTAAAATGATCGATCACATTAAAGGACATGCCCATAACTCACGTCTGCTTGTGGAGCTCTCTGGAGAGACGGACAGAGATCACACACATCTTCTCTTGTATACAGAAGTGAGACGGCTTTCTAAAAGGTAGATAACCGCTCAGAGTTTTTCTGTTACAAGAGCTGCTTCAGAGATTTCTTCTAGAAAAACAGGCACCATTGGCAGCACATTTCAGTGACACAGATTGAGCCACAAAACTTGCTTTCTTAAGTGATATATTCAACCTGCTCAACAAACTCAATCTGCCACTTCAGGGGACAACAAATGTGTTCATGTCAGCAGATAAAGTAGATCCATTCAAATCAGACTGGAGTTGTGGGGGCAATCAGCAAACACTGGGACTTCTGAGATGTTTCAAACGTTAGCAGATTCTGAAAGAGACTGAGCCTTCTTTCTCCCAGTCGGTGCATGATCGCCTATCTCAGCTTTCAAGAGAGTTTGAACATTACTTCCCCACTATAAGAGACCGATGAATTGGGAAGGAATGGATCTTCCACCCATAGGTGAATCGACTTTGTGCTAGAAGAGGATTAACTGCTTGAGACTAAATGATGTTGGCCTTAAAAGTATGACTGAGGGGCAGGGGACATAGCTCAGTGGCACAGCACCCACCTGGTAAGCTCAAGGTCCTGAGTTCAATTCCTGGTACCCTCAAAAAAAAAGTATGTTGTT